ATCCTTCACGGTAGCCGCATTGAGAGCACGGTAGTCCTGCAGAACCGCCCGTGCCGTCCTTCTTCTTCGCGAGCAGCACCGGTAACGGGCTCGTGCTATGCTGGATGAGTCCAGACTCGAGCATCTCGCCCACCTGCCGCTCGATCTCTGCCTTCTGAAAGTACGCGTACCTATAGGGATGCAAGTGCACTGCTCGACCCTCCTCGACCAGAGGTATGTGGTGGTCGAACTCCCGGTGCGGCGGCAATCTCTTGGGCTCGTCGAGGACCTGGTCGAACTCCTCGAGCAAGTCACGCACCTCGCGCTGCCTCTCCTCGACCGCCTCAGCGTTGAGGACCTGGTCGAACTCCTCGAGCAAGTCACGCACCTCGCGCTGCCTCCCCTCGACCACCTGGTCAAACTCCTCGCCCGTCTGCTCGACCACGACAGCGTACAACTGCCCGCCACTTCGCCACACCTTCTCGATGCTTTTTAGACCAACCTCCTTGGTCGATCCTTCGTTTGCTTTCAAGGTGACCAGCCTATCATCGGTCTCGAACTTCATCACGCCCTTCCGGTAGTTGGTCATCACGTCACCGAGCCCTTCGAGCCATTGCACACCAAGCACCACATCCGGCCCTACCAATGGTAAGGCAAACAGGTCCGCCTTTACCGTTACTCCTTGGAATTTGATTGGTACTCCTCGGTACATCTTCGAGCACCGCAGTCACTCACCATTAGCCACCCGCACCTCGAAATTTGAATGGCTCGACCATGGACGTGGGTAGTTTAAGCTTGTGAGATAGCATCGCATTAATGAAGTTGTGCAACGACCCATTGTCCACGAGCACAGTCACTTGCCGGTCCTTCACCCACGCCGGCAAACGCATCGTCTTCGGGCCCTTGGTGCCCGCCATGGCGTGCACAGAGATCTCGGCCTAATCATCGAGCACCTCGACCTCCACCTCCTGTTCTTCCTCGATCACCGGCTCTTCATCATCCGAGTCCACGAACTCGATCAAGTAATTTTGCTTGCACCGATGTCCCGGTGTGTACTTTTCTTCGCACCGGAAACACAGCCCCTTCTCACGTCTCCGCGCCATCTCCTCCTCCGTCAACCTCTTCACCTCGGTTGCCGGTGGCCTAAAGGTGCCCGGCGGCCTCGCGTTCGCACTAGGTGCGCCCACGGTCGCCGACACACGCCGTGACTCCGGGACACGAAAATCCGCCCGTCCCCTTCGAGTCGCGGCCAAGTGATCCTCCCGTATCCTAGCAACCTCCATGGCCTTGTGCATGGTCTCCGGCCTCTCCAAACGCACTTCGGCCGCAAGATCGTACCTAAGCCCTCCAACAAACGCGCCAATAAGCGCGCTCTCCGGCCACCCGCAAACCCGGCACGCCAATCTCTCGAACTCCTTTTGGTAGTCACGTACACTCCCCGTCTGCCGGATCTGAGTCAGCGCCTCGTCGTGGTTATGATAATCTGAGTTTCCAAAACGCGTAAGGAGCTCGCATTCAAAATCTTTCCAACGGATCGGTTGTTGCCGCCCGCGATACACGCGCGTGAGCCACTGCCACCACACGTTGGCCTCACCATCTAAATAGTACGCAGCATACCGAACCCAGTAACATTGCGGCATCTCATTTAAGTCAAAGTACTGCACCGCCCTGTTCAGCCAAGCGTCGGGGTTGGTTCCCGTGAACGTCGAGCGCACGATCCTTGGCTTCTCGACGTGGGCTCGCTCCTGTACGTTCGACGTCTGCGACCGCTGTTCGTATTCTTCCTCCTCCTCGAGGTTGTACTCAGCCCGCTGCTGCTCCTGTTGCCTTAAACGCTCGCGTGCGTTCACCCGTGGTGGCTCCTGCTGCTGCTGTCGCTAAAACCCGTGCAACACCTCCTCCAGGCGCTGCTCGAGGCGAGCCACAGCAGCATTGGTGTTGATCTGGCCCTCGTCGAGCGATCCAAACTGATCCTCCATGCTCTCGCTTATGGCCTTGAATTGGCCTTCCAACCCTTCAACCTTTTCTTTCAACTCACGATGGCCATATCTTTTCTGGCTTGCCTATGTTCTCGAATTCCCGGACTAATATTGATTTTTTTTTTTTTTGAACGAACGAAAATTAAAAAAGAAAAATTGAAAGAGAATGGGAAAGGAAAGACACACGATCGACTCTCTCAATGAAAGCACTACTGATGAAGACCGTGTGTCTCGATTGCCGACAAGCCGCTCCCGCGCCTTAAAATCGCCGATACTGTGCTCGGAGGTTCACACACTCGCGCCCCTTCGAACGATAATTTGCAATAGAACACTTAACGTAAACTAAAGCAAGAGATTTGAACAAAGTTCGGTTTTTGTATTAAGAAGAATCAATATATCCAATTGATAACAAGGCACGCCTATTTATAAGGCTCAAAATAAAGATCTAGTCCTAATCTACTTAGACTAGTATACTTACTCTAGGAAAGCAATAAAATATAAAGTATCCTAAACAAACTAGAAAACAAGGAAATAAAATATTGACTAAGCTATCTAGAATTTTCTTGCTTGCGTCTCAATCCGTCCTGCCGCGCGTCTGCATTGCCTAATCGCCCAAGGACTAGGGCTTCATGTTCCATTCCTGCGCACGCGTCCAGCAACTCGCCTAATCCTTGCGCGCCTAGGCAAGCTCGCGCGTGTACCCCGTCGTCTGCGCGTTCAACCCCTATCTCGTCCCCGACAGTGTCGCGCGCGTCGTCTCCCGCGCGCGCGTGCCCGTCCACGTATCGCGCCTCACCGGCACGGTCACTTAGCCTCCTTCGTGCATGCCACGGGCGACTTGCTGCGTTCTTAAGCCTTCTCGCCGTGTTCGCATCACATTGTCCCGCGCTGTGGCAGAGTTCTTCTCCACACAGTGTTGCATCACACGGTGCCTTCCATGGGTGTTCAGAGACTATGCGTTGCTCCCTCGCGCCATGACGTCCTTCGGGACTTCGGGAAATATGTATCACACGGGACTTCGGGAAATACATCTCTCGACCGGGTGAAAACCCTAGGTCTCGAGGAAACACGACAACTCCACTCTTCTCCTTCTTCTTCCCTCTTCTTCTCCATCATTTTTCCTCTTCTTTTAATCTTTCTTCTCCGATTTTCTTCTTCTCTTTATTATTATTTAGGGATTAGCTTTGCATTGTTGGATTCAACATTGGAATTGCGATTAATTGTAAGTCTTCTCTTTATTTCTAATTCATGTGAATGATTGAATTGAAAGAGATGATGAATTGTGTTAAATTCATGTTGCTTAGCTAATTTCTATTGCCAGGGATAGGGGATGATTGTTCTTGTTTAATGTGCATTTGTGGGGCTTGAATTGTTCATTCGTATATGAGTTGATTTGATTAGGGATTCATGTATTCTTGCTTGATTAATTGATATAATCGAAGAGTGACACTTCGATCTTGCAATTGGTAACGATTGAATATTTATTAGTCGAGTTAGGGTTTTGTTGATTCTATGTGATTAGTTGATTAAACACCTTCTAATTAAATTAATGACTTTTAGAACCGAAAGGGGAGAAGTCGTAGAACCTAGGCTAGCATGAGGTAGATGATTTCGTAACTGAATAATCTATATGTTTTGGATTGAAATACGTGCTTATTGATGACCCGTTCCGTGTTACGAAAAGTTATTGGGATTGGGATAATTGACTTGTGTTGTATGCTTTTGTTTGTTCGTCTATGTTCAATCCCTTGTTATGAAGAGTTATTGGGAGCGAACCGCTAGATGATTAAGCGAGAGTGTCATCCTAGAATCGAACGATCAATGTCCCGATTTTGTTAAAGAACTTGAATTAGTTATCTCCGATTCCCTAGCTTCTCCGTCTTTGTTTCGTTTATATTTTAAGGTAGATTATTACTTTTTATTATTTCTTATAAGTTGGTAATTGCTCAACCCCTATTTGATTGGAGTGTTTAGGTTTTATTTTCTTTTTATGTGCTATCAATACCAGAGCTAAATTCCGAACTGCCTTCCTCGAGAGATCGACCCGGCGAACGAATCTTCAATTCGGTACTCGGTAAAAAAAATAATATATTTTGCAGCAACACAGTTGATTGTGAATCTTAAGTTAATTATTATGTTTGAGTGAGTAAATTTTTATTGTATGTTTTATCCTCTTGTTACAGGTACCATATGTCGTTGGTGGAGATGATTGGAATGACGCCATGCAACAAGAACTTCTTAATTGTGTATGCACTTATCAAGGACGAGACCACATACAGCTATGACTGGGTTCTACAGCGGTTGAGACTTCTGATAGGGCTTGATTTAGATCCTTCTGTCATTGTCACTAACAGGGGTTGGGGCTGATTACTTCTATCCATACGAATTTCTCAGAGTCAGCCCACTTACTGTGCACGTGGCACATCAACAAAGATGTGGAAGACAGGGTGTATAGACTAACATAAAAAAATAAGGTATTCGCTGAGAAGTTCACACATGGCAGGGGGAAGAAGGTTGTCGAGGCGAGCACGTTGGATGCATACAAAACTGTTGTAGCTGACATGAATGCTACATACTCGGCGTTTCCTCGTGTGCTAGAATATGTGGACCAGACATGGTTAGTCCACAAGGAGAAGTTTGTCAGAGCGTGGACGAACACTTTTTTACATTTTGGCAACACGATGACGTGTAGGGTGGAGAGTGCCCACTCTACGTTGAAGTGGTGGCTGGACACGTCGAGCGGTTCGCTCGACACAGTGTGGGAGAAGATTCACAAGGAGATTGAGTCTCAACTGACTCAAGTCAGGTATATTCCTTAAGTTATACATATTTACTGTGATATTGCTGCATTCATTATAAGTTTTTTTGTTGGGTCTAATGTTATGTAATGTATTACCAGGGAGAAGCTGGAGTCTTCGAAACTTAGGAGGCATACGGGTTACCAAGGATTCCCTTTCCCGCAGTTGAGATTGCGGGTTTCGCATTATTGTTTGGATATATTAAATGTTGAGTTTCAGACGATGCGAGACTTGAGCGAATATGTTTGGGATCACTGCGGATGTGTACTGAGTTACACTCATGGACTTCTTTGTGCCTGTCAGCTAAATGGGGCATACACTGTGGGTCTGGAAAATACGCCCGACGTGATCCATGAGTTCTGGAGCACACTGGTGGTGAATGAGCCAGGTATGATTGCGAGGTTGATAATTTTATATAAGTTATACAAACATCATTTACAGAATATACTTTTTTGAAATTATTTTCAATTTTTTATATTTTTCAGTATACTTCACGTATTCTTTCATTTAAGTCAGAGTGTGTTGTTTAATTTTATGATTTTTTGTTTTTAATGGGCAGGTCACCAGAGTGCATTGGCAAGTGGATGGACAAATCGTGATTATTTTCAGAGGCTTGCAGCGGAGGTTGAAGAGGTCGATCCTGCAACGTTGAGGTACATTAATTAGTTCATGGACTCTCAACTTAACCCTTACCAACAAGGTTACATAGAACCTCCAGTGAGGGAAAATCCAAGAGGTCAGCCCAAGAATCCCAATTCAACAAAGCGTGATCCATCCAAATGGGTGTACAGTTAAAGAGGCTGTAAAAGCACTTTTTCCTGTGCTCCATCGCAGTCGGAGTACACAGATACAGGTCGTCGAGTGGGGCGTAAGAGCACTTCTTCGTGTGCTCCATCGATATGGGAGTATAGGGAAAGAGGTTGTCCAGTGGGGCGTAAGAGCACGTCTTCGTGTGCACCGACAAGCTCGTCTTGTCAACCTTCTGATGACCCGACAAGTGTTTTTTTTGTTTATCTGAACGATAACTAATCATGTTAGTAAATTCGATTATCTAAATTCTGACGTGAAATATTACAGAGCTATTATGATATTACTAATCATGTTTATTCTAATATTAGAGAGACTTTCTCGACGAACTTCTTTCAATATCAGCATTGTGACAGAATTCCCTATGTAGTTCATCCCTACTTACAGAGCTATCTGGATGTGACGCCGGATGGGAACTGCAGATTTTGGGTGGTTGCGGGTGTTAGAGGTATGCTGTAAAAGCTCAGTTTTGCAGATTCTATCAATTCCATTTTGATCTGGCCATCATGTTTCGGTCAAAGTACATATGCTTGCAGTTTATTTATTTATGCAATCATACTCTTTGTCCTACATTGAGATAGTGTGGTTCGAAGTATTTTGAACAGAAAGATCATCTTTCGGTTCCTTGTAAGACTAAACTATTTGTTCACAGTATATATAGATAGGCAGTGAGACCCCTCTTGGATAAAGACTGTAGTGTATTCTTGATTCAGTTGGTCTTTGACTGGAGAATTACACTAGCACTTATGATAGGTGTTGAACAGGACCACGAAAGGATAAGATTATGAGACTCACTGATTGTTGTTGTAATCTAGACCATCAGCAATTGATGCGTACTCTTAAGCTGTAAGATAATATAAAACAGGCATATGTATTCATTATTTGTTTATTTGATTTACCAAGGGGGATTCCTATTTTGCTAGGATGACATACTCAGTATTTTGGTAAATAAGTGTGTTTATATGATGTGCCGTTATAAAGTATTTACGGTCACTGTGACCCAGTGCGCTGGGTTGATGACGTCCCCGAAATGAGCTCAGGAATGAATATTATGTCAAGCCCTGCAGGCGGATGTTTTATCCGACATAATGATTAAGGATCTGAGTGGTACTAGTTTCGGAAATGAATAAGAAGTTGATTAATTATTTTGTCAGTAATTTAATTAATCAACGGACGTTATATCTTAAACATGGGGAGATAAATTGATCAATTAGATTAATATATATATATATATATATATATATATATATTTAATCAGTGGAGACGAGTTAATTGTAATTCGGAGCTAAACGAGGAGAGCTGCTTAATGACTCTGGTATAGGTTGGAACACTTGGTTGGTCTCTCAACTATTTTATTTGTCTGACAGGAATGCAAAAAAACTCTAAAACCTGAAAAAGAGGACAGAATCTATTGGGCTCTAGACAAGAAAGGAGTTTTTTCTGTATCCAGCACATATGCATTCTTGTCCTCTCTGAGCTTTGGACATTCCATGCAGTAGCAACTCCTCAAGATCCAGTTCTTCTCCCTTTGATACATGCTGGAAACTCAAGGTGCCTGAAAAATCAAACACTTCATTTGGAAGTGTCTTACTGGGTCTTTAGCTGTCAAGGTGAATTTGAGGAACAGAGGACTCTCATTAGATGTCATTTGTGATTGTTGTGGTCAGGCTCCTGAGACCATAGAGCACATTTTGTTTCACTGCCCAAAAGCTTCAAGAACTTGGGATTTATCCCCTGTTTCCTGGGATGGTTTACAGTCCTTCACTTCCTCCTTCAGATGTTGGTGGGCTCAAGTTTCCTCCATTGGCAAATCTGATATTGCTGTTCAAAGAATCCAACTCTCGACTTATATCCTCTGGTGGCTATGGAAGTCACGTAATCTTTGTATCTTCCAAAATACCTCCTTGCCGCCTCAGGTGCTCATCAAAATTGCACACAGAGAGTGGCTGGATTTCTCCCATTTGTAGTTCGTATCTGTTTGTCTTGGTTTCCTTTGTTAGGTTGTTTTTCTAGTTTTTGTTTTCTCTTGTGATCTTCTAGGCTTCTGGCAGTGGAGGATTTTTGTGTTTTCTAGTTTGGCTAGTCTGTTTGTTGAGGTTCTAGGCCGCATTGTTGCGTGTCGTCTCAGTTCTATGTTTTTTAGAGTTTTTGTACTTAAACTTTGGTTCTCGGTTGATGATATATATATCTCTATCGTTTCGAAAAAAAAAAGATTCCATTAGGAGAGGAATGTTCCTTCTAGAATATTACCTAGGTTAAGGAGACTATGGAGTCTTCTAGAAAGTAATGAAGGTTAGGAGGAATATGACTTCCAGATGGAAAAGGAGATGGAAGATAGTAAGGATTCCTAAACCTAAAGGAATAAGCCCATATTTAGCACCTCTTTTAAGTCCATATTGTAGCCTATAAATACACAAGTCCCCTAGCCTCTTGAAAATATCACACGTTTTTCTTCTCCCCGAAGGGCTGGAGAAA